GCTGAAGCAGATCCTGAAGAGGTGTTCCAGTTTAGGAAAGAAGCAAAGTTACCAGGATGAAGAAGGTCTTCCATTGGATGTCCCAAAGGGTCATTTTGTAGTGTACGTGGGTGAACAGAGAAGCAGATACATTGTACCAATCTCTTTGTTGACTCGACCAGAGTTTCAGAATTTGCTCCAACAGGCTGAAGAAGAATTTGGCTTTCATCATCATATGGGTCTTACCATTCCTTGTGAAGAAGTTGTTTTCCAGTCGCTAACGTCCATGCTCGCATGATCATCATCGTCATCATCACTATCACCATTATCGTCTTCATCACCTTCATCCTTCTTTTTTTTTTTTTTTTGAGAAATTAAATTCTCAAGATGAAGCTGCTTCCTTGCTTCTCTCATTTAACTTTCTCTTTTTCTTCTTTTGTTTGCTGGGTTGTTCTTTTTTTTTTTTTTTTTGTTCAAATGACTCTGACCCACGAAAAACCCATATATATTTAGGATTATCTGGGTTTTTAAATTGTAAATCTCAGATTAAGTTAGAAAATTTTCCTCAAGGAGGCGAACCCTGTGAGAGAAGTAGAAATCAATATGAAGCATTTGTGGGCTTGACCCCTCTTTCTCTTAGTACTCTTCCCTTTTCTAATTTTTATTTTACACCACTGCAAGTAATCTGCAACTGCACATCTATCTCATTATCAATTTCAAGTCAACAGTAGAAATCTTAACCCAAAAAAAATGAAGATGCTATTGCCGACAGAAACTAACTATATTATGATCCCACAATGGAGCACAAAATTGTCAAACAAAAAAAGGTTTACACAGAAGGCTTTTTTTTTTTTGTTGTTATCATCAATTAATTAAGATTAAAAAATTATTTGTTTAATTCTGCAAAGAAGGGGAAAAACTCGTAGTAATTCTTTACAATTTTGTTCGATTACTGGATTCAATATCCCTCCTTTAACAAAATACATAGGAGGGTGAATCCTGTTAGAATCAAGCATAAAACTCTGTATATGACTTACTGGGTATTCCAAAAAGTTGGTCAAATTATTGTCTGCTTGAATTGCAAGAAAAAAAAAAGAAGTTGAAAGATTAGAATGTCTTAAGTTAACAAAGTAATGATGTGATTACATAAAGTAACCATAACTGCAACAATGACAAATGTTTTATATAAAATATATATTCACTGCAAACACTTTTCTAGTTTTATTATTTCATATATATTTTTAATCTTAAGAGGACATTGGCAGACAAGAGCACTGAAGTAGGTTTTTCCTTATCTGTGAATAAGTTTAATGGGCTGGCAAAATCATGAAGATCATTTCATTTAAGTATGTCAGAGTATGTGTTTAATCTTTTAGTTTTAAGGCTGAGTTTGAGGTCAAAAGAGAGAGGAGAGGACATATTGGTTCATTCAAGCATTTTTTTTTTTTTTTTTGAATTTCGACGAACATGATCATAAAGAAAAACTCAATCAAAATCTTTAGATATATAAGATTTTTAAATTAAATTACCTAATTTGGTAGGGGTGACAGGTGATATACTATGAGTCACAAGTAACCATAATGGTAAGGTGATAGGTTTAGGCTACATAATATGGTGATTGTTTGGTTAAAGAGAAAAAAAAAAATGACTCGTCAAATTTTAAGTATTTTGCCGAGGTAAATTTATTTCATTTGTGGAGATAACTACGACATTAATAATTAGGGTGAGACCCATATTGACATATAGCATAGTAGATAATATGGACTTATTTTTATTATACAGTCATAGTAAGCATAAGAAACACGTGCAAAAATTGATGAATAAAAAAGTAACTTTGGAACATATCCTAACACCAGTATCATTAGTTGATCAACGAAATAGGATATTCCTGAAAACTTGAATCTTAACATGAAAAATGTTAGAATAAAATTTTTTATAAGAACTTATTATTAGTTACGATTTTCTTAAATAAAATTAAATTTTTAGAAATTTTATAAATGTGTAACATATTCTCAAGTTAAAAACACAATTAAGAAAAAAAAAATTTACTATGATAAAGTTTAAATCATTATTTAGTTATAAACATGTAATTTATTCATAACGTTATATTGAAACAAAAAAAGAAACATAAAAATCTGGTGTAACTTTATAACAAACACTAATGTTAAGATAACATATTATTAGAACTTTAAATAAAAAAATAAGATAAATTTTTTTACCAGATACATTTTGTATTATAACAAATAATATATATATATATGTAAAAAGGGCATTAAAAGGGAGCTAATGATGGATGAAATTGTTCCATCAACTTATGAGTTATGTGATGCCAAAAATAAAGTTTTTTTTTTTTTTTCATTTGAGATTATAAAGGTAAAACCCTTTTCTCCAAAAAGTTCCACCACTTACACTAATGCTCTAATGCCACATGTATATATATATATATATAGTGGAGTTGAATAGGAATAGAAAGTTGGAGACATTTTTGAAATATTATTAAGGTATAAGTAATAAGTTTTACAAATTCATAGTTAAAAATATAAGTATTTTAAGTAATAAATTAAGTTTTGGCATTTGTAAATTTTGAATATTAAAATAGTAGGAAGGATAAATAAATAAATAAATTAATTAAGGAAATAAATATTTAAAAATTGTAATTGAAAACTTGCGGTGGACCCAAAACGATCCGTACTGACCGGACACTCGCCTCAATTTATTAACATAATTTAACGCTAATATTTTTACGTTTTAATTAATTAATTAATTAATTAATTTTAGAAAAAGTTTAGAATTATTATTCCAAGGAAAAATATGATAAAGGCAACATCTTTTTGTTTTTATCTTTTATTAATTATTTATCGCAATCTTTGACCACTCGATGTAATTGTATAGAAATTGATAAGCTTCTTGAACTCTGCATATACATATACAGACAAACACAAATATACGATATATATAAATATATATATATATATACAGACCAGAACTTTGGAGGACTGAAAAGGGTAAAACACTATACATATGTATACGTAAATATAATATAATATATATATGTATAGAGAGAGAGAGAGAGAGAGAGAGAGATGGAGTTCTCCTACCTTTAAGAATGAGGGTTAACTAGGCATGAAGATAAGTTATTAAAACGAATTCATTGAATCAAGCACTAAGTTTTCTTTTGTTTTTTTGGGTTCTTGAAAAAGGAAAGAAAATTAGTGTATCGAATGATGAAATGACATGCACGTAGAATTTTCTTCCCCAAGTAATAATATTTTATGTCTGCTTACAAGTTAGAAGCTACCGTTTTATCACCTGGGCACACACGACTACTCCATACCGATGTGTGAGTATATATATATATATATATATATATATATATATATACGACAACCTAGGCCTTCAATATTATACCAAATCTTGTTTTTATTCAAACAGGACTTCAATAGTAAGTTGATACATTATTTTTGGGATTGATGAATCACAAGCGAAATAAATATATATAAAGCAACGGGGTGATTACAGTATTCTTTTTTAACTCATTCGAAAAAAGAATGGTGGAAAATTAAATCATTTATTGACATGGGTCAAGTGTATACCCTATATTCTCTCTCTCTCTCTTCAATGAAAAATAAAAACTTAGAATTTCATTGTAGAGTCGTATGCAATGCACAATAAATACTTCATTGGACGAGATAGAAGGACCATTCTATCATCACAGTAATGATTCGTCAACCTTGCTACTTCTTTTTACTAGGCACGGGTGAGAGAATTTATTCTGAAAGCAACGTAACTACTAAAACTTCGTGAAATCTTCATAAAAATTTATGTATAAAGAACAGGTAAATCCTTATGGGTTATATCCGAAAACATGGAGAGGGATGAAAAATGTAATACCATATATGAAAAATTTTTAAGTAAAAATTTAAGTTCTTGGTAATCGTTACTTATACACACGGTGTATGGTTTGAAAATTCTAAAAACTTTAAACAGCTATGTAAATGAAGATGCTATATGTATATGTATTCTCTCTTATGGTCTTCGTGGGAGTGTTTATAGGATTGAATTGCAGAGTCAATAATGGTTTCTGCTGAGTTAGACCGCTCTACATAATCATGTATTGTGATGGTTTCTTACGTATAGAATATGAATTGATAGTTAAATATTTGATTAAAAAATAAATGGGTTAGTTTATATATAATATGAATCGAAGGTGGTATCAGTTAAAAATGGAGCCAAAAGTTTCACATGCTCAACAGTGATAAAAAGATTGCAGTTAAAATCTGGACAAGAATGTAAGGATTTTTTTTTTAGATTCATATCTTAATCTTTTTGTTTTCTTCTGCGGGCCTCAATGTCTTTTCAATGTTTTTAAATATATCAACTTCTTAAATAATTTAATTTTCCTTTTATATATATATATACACACACACACACACATGTTTAATCTAATAATTTCAAAATTGATTAGGTTTCCAATTTTATGTATTTACATTTCAAATTCGTATAAAATTAATCGTTACACTATTCTATTAAAAATCATAATATATGTGCATATATATATATATATACAAATATATGAATAGAAGAATATATCTGAAAGAACCTGTGGCCACTGTCAAATGGGTTCTTGTCTGCTTCAATGGAAAGCAATAATTACCATCCTTTATCCAAATTCCAAAGTCTGTTTTTAAAAAACAAATGATTATCGGAAAAGAATTATAAGAGCGACGATGAACACATCCATCAATCCATTATGTGAATATATATATATTTAGAATAATTGTACCTTACTATATTATTTTCAAATAATAATTTTAATCTTTAAATAATAATCTAAGATTTGGGTTCTCCCCTTATATAAGTAGATAATTTTTATTTTATCCATATTAAAATTTGTGAATGATTGAAATTTGTTTAAAATGTGATAATAAAATAATTTTAAAAGGTTTTTGTGAGAGAAATATCCTTGAATATTTTTTAAAAAATAATTCAAATTAAATACGGATATAACTAAATTAATTTTTTTTATCTCTATAAATCGAAAAAAAAAGATTTAACAAGAAAATATTATAACATAGAAGTAAAAGGATCGACCATTTTCAAATATATAACATAAATTCTGGCAACACAATACAATTGAGTTGTTCGTCTATTAAAATAGTATACAAACTAGATTAAAAAAAATTTTGATTGTAATTTCAATAAGTAGCATTGTCTGTGACTATTATCATGTTCATGACTATTATAAGCTGTCATTGCTGTATAATTATTGAAATAACGAGAATATTTAAAAGTTGCTTCTACTAAAGAAATCTACCATCTTGAAGTCGATTTATTTAATTATAGATATTAATTTAATGTAAATATTAAATAAAAAATATTTATTAATAAGCATGTTAAATATTATTAATTTTAAAAAAGTAATAAATATAATTAAATAAATAAATATGATGGACAGGAAACATGTGGATGTCGTATCAATCAAGTAGTTAAAATGTCAGACTTTTGATAACAACTAATCCATGATTTAATTAAAAATAGATTTTCCAGTGTAGATTAATTAATAAAATTTATAATAATAATTAAACTGGTATATATATAACCAGGTTTACACATGCACACGTGTGTATATATATATATATATATATATTAAATAGAGTGTGAACATGAGTTCTGAACCAGGTGCGATTCAAGCTTGAGCTTCTTGACTGACCCATATAGAATAATAATAATATTACGATTATATATATATATATATATATGTCTGTGTGTATAAAGAGTAAATGTGGGAAAAGCAGCCAAATTTGAGTTGAAAGAGGACGTACCATAATAAATAATAATATCTTGAGAATCAAAATTGGATTTCTAAACCCCAAGTCTGGTAGTAATTAAATGAGGTGAGTTTTGGGAATCAAAATGCATTGAATATTATTTTCACCAAACTGAACACCTATACGCACACACACACACATATACATATATATGTATATATACACACACACACACACACACACATACGGTTTGTGTTTTGTAGTTGGAATTTAGAGTGGCAGTTGGTTTGGCATCTTATTTATTATATAATTAATAATTGAGAAATTTTCAGTCACTTCTCTGCCAACCCAAAACCTATCTCAAATAATAATAATAATAACTGAAGAAGCAGATTCTTAGAATTTACTTTTATTGTATTTTTAGATAAAATTATGTTGTTAATTTTGAGAAGATAATAGAAGAGTAATTAAATAAATTAATAAAAGAAAATAATTATAATTTTATAAAATACTTATTTTCTACCAGTGCCTTGAAATGTGAGCCCACAAGTTGGGGGGACTCAAAATTTCATTCCAATCACAACACGAATAACAACTTGACCAAATTTCAAATCTCACCCACCACAAGCAGTTGGACCTAAACCCTAAACTTAAGCCCACCAAAGGCCCATTATAAGAGACCCTACACTCCGCATAACCTCTGCAATAACTTGTTCAGAAACTGATGAGATCATATACAACGAAGCTTCCACATCCAAAATATTTTTGTACCAGTTTAGTCGCTGTGTCATGTTTCACTCAATCACATTACAAAAGTTCCAGGAAAGAAGAGAAAAAAGATTAAAACAATAATATACAGTCAATAGTTACAAAAATTATTTGCTCAAAGTCCATAGAAATTCAGGGAGAATGGGTACAGAAAGGTTGTGCCTCCTAATGACCACTCCTGCCTTTTGAGGAAAAGAACCTGCTAAATCCCCGCGAATGCTTCTCCGGTGTTGGCGCAGACGAAGAGGATGAAGAGGTTGACTTTGTGGACCTATGTTTTGGATGGTTTGAACTGATGGGTGATTTCATGAGATTGTTTGCTTCAGTATCAGACGGGCTGCACGGGGAGTTACAAAAGTTGGGAGACTCTGCTCCTACTCTTTGAACATTGGAAGAGGTAGCAGTATCAATCTCTGCCTGGTCCAACTCTTGCAGGTTGGTGCCACTAATACTTGGTTCGTCTTCACCCCTTTGACTTCTCTCGCTGAATGGGGAGGATCCAATTTGCTCTGTTTGAGGCCGCAATGCTTTTAACTGCTTGCCCAGGAGAAATATGGTTTCTTGACACTCTGCCAGCTTTTCTGCAGCAGCAGCTAACTCTTTCTCCTGTCATGTCAAAGACAGGCTTTTCAGCTTGGCTTGGGTTTTAATAAACTTATCAAATGTAATGGCCCCAAATAAAGCATCATGACAGGCAACAAAAACATTCATGATCATGTCTAGCAGGCACATCTTTTATTAAGGTAGTTCCTTATGTTTTATTAGTAAGTCCTAGTTCCTTGTACAGCACCGGTGGCATGACCTAAAACCTGAATCTAACAGAGAGCAGCAGCAGTACAATTTTTGTTATACAAACAACAGTTTTATAGCTGCTCCTCAGAAACTTTCCAGGGCACGATGGTTACTTCTTTAAAATTGCATGTCCTCTATGACATAATAGAAAATAACTAAGAATATATACAGACGGACTTTCCAGTTTTACAAACAAACTTTCTTTATTTTTCAATTATTATCTTCCATTAGCCAACCACACAACGCAAGAATTGAACAGATGAATTCATTGTGTTTTGGCAAGAAGATTTGACGTAGAGATATGGACTGAAGGCAATGTACTCAACAGAAACCAAGTTTATTAGTTATAATAAAAGCTATTATCCCAATTTTTTTTATACATACAGGGGATATGGTAGAATAAAATATGTGCAAACTCAGGAATGAACAAAGAAAAACCAAGGTTTATGAGATATAGATTTAGACAACAATGTAATATATAATTATTTGAATATTCTCATGTTCTTAATATTTTATTAATACTTTCAAATTTATTTAAATTTTGTTTACAAAATTAATTGATTTTAATAATTAATAAATTAATTTTTCATTATTGATTAATATAATTATTCTAGTATATATATACATTTTTAAACCAAGATAAAATTTTGAAAAAATAAACATTGACGCGGATAGTATTAGCACACTCAACCAATGAGGTGATGGTCTTTCCAATTGGAGTCTTGCATAGCCACTCAATTGAAAAATCTCCAATAGCTTAAATAAAGTGAATGATAAAAGAGAAGGGTATTTAAGGAAAGTCATTCTCTTGAAAACAAGTTCGTTTCACCATTTTTTTAGAAAAAATTAACCATACACTACTGTCTGGCCGAAGTCCCAGTATTTTCATGGCACCAGATCTAACCATAAGCCGTATCCTAAAAAGAGGTTCACAGCTGGCCTCAGAAACAGAGCAGTCTCAACATCTTAAGGTAACTCTTTCCAAGCTCTTTGCACCAGCCACTTTCATATATAACATTTATGTGGCTGAGGCTCAGGCCTTTAGTTACTCATCAGAAATTATTTTTTCAAGTTTAAAAAATTAAAAATAGAAAACTCTGTAAGTATGAAAATGCTTGCGAAGAATGACTGGAAATCGGTAAGTTAATAACTAAAAGAGTATAGCCTCACCTGTTTATTCTTGAGGTCAAGATCAGCAGCAGCAGAACAGATGGAGCAATTTTCATTCCTATAACAGAAAATGCGGTAGGAAAGCATGATTACACTTCAGCAGTTAATAATCACAGAGAGCAATGAAGTATATAAGAAAGTGTTATCTACTTAAGTGTGGACATAATTGGAACCAAAAGTCAAACAGAGTTTTTTCATTTAAACAATAAACTGATGATCTCTGCAAGATCCACGTCGACAAAAGCAACAGCCCAGGTACATTTTCCAAGGTCCAAGAAATTCTAATTTAAAGCATGGGGAAGAAGCACCGATTGTTTTAGTCTACCATTTTAGAATAGGAATATGATCAAAAAACTGCTTGAAGCAGAGTGTGGGATTGTGGCCTGAAAATTTGCTTTTTTCTCCTTTGCTAATTGATATTTGAAGACTGAATTGGTCTGCTGCTATCACATGCACATGCACATGCAAGGCATAAATTTAAAGACAGCCGATAGTTACATGTGGTAAGATAAAGTTTGATGCTAACCTTTGCAGTTGTTCTTCAAGTTCTTTGCATCTGGTCAAGGCATCATGGTATCTATTTTTTTCATCTTCAAGTTCATTTTCTAAATTGTCTATTTTTCCTCGCAGAAGGTTCAGCTCAGTTTCTAACTCTTCCGAACGTGTTTCAAGTGTCCTGTAAGACTCTGCCATGCATTTAAGCTGTGTCTCTGCCAAGCTATTTGACTTCTGAGCGGAAGCTAATTGTGATTTGACTTCTGCTAGAAGCTGCTCAGTTTCTTGTAGCTGAGACTTAGTTACCCCCAGATTCTCAATTGACCGAGCCAGATCCAATTGTGTTTTTTCTTTCTCCAATTTCAATTCTTCAAACTCCTCCAATGTGAATTTGCCAGCTGAGTTGTTTGTATCATAGCCAGAAACTACATTCCCATCATCAGGAACTTCAGGATTGGAGGTAGGACTAGAAATATTGGTGCAGCCATTTTTATACCTTTCTCCTGATAAAGCTTTCTGAACTACCTTATCCTCTGGTAGAACAACCTTATCTATGCAATCTGGACTGTGAATTTCTAATTCACTGCCCTTAAAGCCCAGGATACTGAATTTTAATTCATTAGCTTCAGATAATACATGGGAAAGATTCAGAACAAAGTCAGCCAAATTCTTGTCGCTGCTCAGCACCTTGTTAAATGTGATAGAGAACTCCTCAATTTTTCCCTTGAATCCGTTGACATGTGCAGAGGCGTCATGAAGTGCCCCTGCTTCTTTACCCAAGAAAATTACAAAGTCATGAATCTGAGAAATGGCAGCTGCTAATTCTTGGCTGATTACCTGCAAAATTACTGATGTCTTGCTATCTGGTGACAAGGAGATCTCATTCTTTGCAATTAAAGTAGTACCTTCACAGGTGGCATCCAAACTCGGTACATTCTGAGAGTTTTGAGTTATCGAGTGCTGACAAAGAGAATCATGTACATCTTGAACAACACGTTTAATGTCCTCCAAAACTTTATCCATATCAGCGTCCTTGGGCATAGATTCAAGCACAAGTGATATTCCTGAGCGGAGCCTCATCACCGGCAGCTCATCTACATTGGATTGAGTACTCTCTGCTGACAAATCTACATTAGGAGAATTTTGATTTACAGAATGTTTCAGATCATTTTGCTTTTCAGACTCAAGATCTTTGTGAGCAGTAACCTCTGCAGAAGCATCAAAGCTGAGAGTATCTGATTTTGTACCATTTGAAGAGTCTAAAATAGGAATGGAGCCATTTGCATTAGGATCATTTGATAAACAGGCTAACTTCTCCATCTCCAAAAAGTCATCCATGAGCCCCAAGTGATTAGCATTTTCTACCTTCTTTGACTCATCACTTTTATTATCCTTCTTGACATGGGAGAGCTCAGAAATCAATGCAGTAGCCCAAGACTCAGCACAACTTACTGTGTCTTCATTTCCATCTTCAGACATAGAAGTTAAGCTAGGTGGATTACTAGCACCTTGACCTGAATAGGCTTCAGCAGGAATCTTTGAAGGATTTTTCTGTTGCATTTGAGCTTCTAAACTTTGAAGCCGACTTGCTGTCTTAGCACAAAGATTTCTTGAAGCCTGCAACTCTGTATTACGCTTTGCCAAAGCTTCTTTCAGCATCTTTGTTTCTTCTTCCATCGCCAACAAACGTTCAGTTAGAAACTCATTCTCTTTATGGAATTTCTGAACATTCTCAATGGAGTAGTCAGGAACTGGAGACAGATGGGGGCTAGATGGCTTAACAGGTGACCTCCTAAGCCGAGTATCTCCATAATCTCGGCCTAAACTCTCAACCTCTAGCTTCATTTGTGCAAGTGCAGCAGGACCAGGCAACTTCTTCCGCACAAGACCACGCAATCTCTGGCACTCAGCTTCAAGCTTAGCTATTTTTTTCACACCTTCCGTGTGCAGCTTGTTTGCTGCTTCTGCTGACCTCATGCTCATATTTTTTTCTTCATTACGAATGTCTAGCTCTTTGGAAACCAAATGGAGCTCATACTTGAGTGAATTTATTTCCCTTTCACAGGATTCAATATTACTCTTCAAAAGCTCAATTTCAGCTTCAGCTTGTGCCTTCTCTTCATTTATCTTGATTAGCATGTTAGAACGCTCTTGTAATGACCTTGAAATGGCAGCATTTTCAGCAGCAGACTTAAGGAGTTCCTGGTCTAAGTTGGCTATCTTTGCTTCAAATTCAAGCCTAATTTTGTCAAATTGCTTGTTTTTGGTTAGAACGACATCTTGCAACTTCTGTTCATGTTCTTCCTTCAAATTTCGTATTTGCCGCATGCACTCTTTAAGGGCACCATCCAGATGAGATGCCCGATCTTCAGCAGTGAGCTTGGAAAGTGTAACAGATTCCAGATTACTTTTCAGTGCCAAAGCTTCTGCTTCTGCCTTCTCCCAACCTGCAGCAAAAGAAGATCTCAGTGTTAAACAAAAGCCAAAGATGAACTGAAACACCTATACTTCACCAGTGAGAATAAGTAAATTCCTTCTTTCCAAAAAGTGTGTTCCTTCATGCAGTAATATTCACACCTGAGACAGCTTCTTCAGCAACCTTATTATGTTGCTTCACCAAGTTGTCTTTGGTAGTAATTTCTGCTTGGGCTGCAGACAGCTTTTCGTTCGAGTCCTGAATCTGATCCTCCAGCATCTGAACTTGTTCCTCATATGTCTTAACTTGATCCTCCAAACCAGTAAGATGTGAATATGATTCGACAGAAATCTGGACATAGTTTGGTTTTTTGTAATTATCCTGCTTTGGCAAAAGACAACCACAAAGGTAAGTAAATCAAGTATATAATAATTCCAAGAGGATTGCCTTTCCATACCAGTGAAAGCTAAAAGATACCTAATTTTTTACATACAATTTAGTAAATAATGTGACAAATGATAAGGACAACAAGAGAGCACCTGTTCACCGCGAGAACCCGCAGCAGCTTCTGATGCAACAGCCGCTTTATCAGTTTTATCAGACGATTTTTTCTTCCAAAGCCAACCCCGTCGATCCATCACAATCCCTACAGTTAGCAGACTTGAGGTTTAAAAAAAAAAAAAAAGACGACTGAACAGACATGAGGAGTGCAAATAAATGATATCAACAGAAAAAAAAAAAAAAATCAGTAGGAATGTGACAAACTTTTGGTCGCAGAGTGCTCAAGTGAAAATTTTAAAACTTAAATAGGAAAGAAAACAGAAACAAACATAGATATATTTGTTTTAATTTCATTAATAATTTCCTCCTCAATTTGACACTACTTTCAAAAGGTTTATGTATGACGAAGAAACTTAAACTTAAAGCATTAAGAAGGAAAATAAATAAATTCCGTTTCCAGAAATCTGCTACTAAACATATGACACTGACATAAATAATGCATAAATGAAATGGCAAAATTTTAACATCATAAAGCATACATTATTAAACCCTCTAGCATCAGGACTGATTTTAATTTCTCACTCATTCCCACAGATTAATTGCAGAGTTCTGACCCACTTTAGTTTGCACAATGAGATGGTTGAAACACACTTTCTTCCCACATAAAATTGAAATATGATACTCCCAAAAATCTTTTATCTTAATCGTCACAAGAATTTGGCGTCCATAGGAGTCAACTTTAGAAAAACCCAAATACTGTGGAAGATTATTTTTATGTTCACCATTAAATGCATGTTGAGCTAATAAAGGACAGCCTTTAGGGCTTTTTAGCTTACTTTTTTTCATGGTCATGCCAATCTTTACAGAATAGAAGTAAGAGTAGCAAAATAAATTAAGATTCAAGGAGCATATGCATTACGACAATTAGTTAATTTAACCATCATACTAATTCTTCCATATAACCGGATTTGAAAATTCTTTCAGAATAACTGAGGAAAATTATTGAAAATCAATTTGAATGCAAAAATCACGAGAAAGAACGCAACAATTTTCTCAGTATAAAAAAATCAATTTCCCACATCATCCAGAGTCAAGGGAATCTCTTTACTTACAAGAATTGTCAAAACTCCCTTTCAACCAATTAAAATAATGAACATATGCAAGTAACAGCACTTAATTAATTAATCATCAAACTAATTCTTCCATACAACCAAGAAGTTGAAACAGTTTCAGAATTAGTGAGGAAAAAGAGAAATGAAAATCAACTATAAATGATGGGCTGCACAAAAACAGACTCGTTAATGTACAAATGTCTTGCTTCCACATAGTCAGAATAGGAGTCCATTAATAAGAAAAGGTAAACCTCTCCCAAGTGAGCCTAATCAAGGGTATCTTTTCAAAAACAAAATACTCGGAGGACAACCTCACTTGGGTTTACAGGCAAGCAATCCTTGGGTCCAAACTCCATGCATCACCGATTGTCATGGTCTTTGGTAAGCTTTAGCTATCGATGGAATAGTTGAGGGACTCTTCCATCGATAGTGGAGTTATCAGTGATAAAATTGGAGAAGTTTCCTTTATTATATGAAAGAGGACTCAACTTTCCAACGTTTAATGATGATTAATTATTTACCATACACTAACAGAGTTATGAAAGTTCCCTTCCTTATAAGGAGAGACCATACTTCTTCCAACATTAAACGATGAGACTCCAATTATGATATAAAAGCTAAACTTTATTGAACATGATGGCTGGATTAGGGAGTAATTTCACAATAACAGGGTTATGGATGATTGAGTTGGAGGGTTTTCCTTCCTTGTAAAGAGAGACCTCACTTCATCCAGTATCAGAAAAATAATAAGCTAAACTTTATTGAACATGATGGCTGGATTAGGGAGTAATTTCTGGATAACGGGGTTATGGATGATTGAGTTGGAGGTTTTCCTTCTTTGTAAAGAGAGAGCTCACTTCATCCAGTATTGAATAATTATAAGCTAAACTTTATTGAACATGATGGCTGGATTAGGGAGTAATTTCACGATAACGGGTTTATGGATGATTGAGTTGGAGGGTTTTCCTTCCTTGTAAAGAGAGACCTCACTTCATCCAGTATTGAAAAATTATAAGCTAACGATGATACGTAATCAGAAGCTCTCTTTAACATGACCTAGACAACTAAGAAAGAATGTTGCATCAAAGAATGAAACATATATTGTACCCATTTACAAGTAAGGATCAGAAAGAATAAAATTGGCCTCTTCTATTTTTTTTGTTTAGAAAAGAATAAACCTTTATGTCTTTGAAACATTTTGTTACCAACCAAACAGAGGGACTCTAGAAGGAGTTGAAAATAAAACCCGTCTGCTAGTCCCAACTCCCTATACAAAGAATTAATAACCGAGAACAGAGCAACCAAAGACATATTGTTAAAGGCCAACTCTCCTAACTCATCCAAACGCCCTCCACCCCGCCAGGAAAAATAAACCGGTAAATTTAGACATGCATTATTGCATACACTGATACAAAATGAAAGTCGATATCAAATACTTTGAAGTAGACGAATTGGAATCAACTAGGTCAGGTCGGCATGCAAATGAGAACATTAAGTCCATTGAATGCATAATAAGTACCAAGATCTAATCGCATAATTTTCACAGATAAAGATCTTATAATCAAAAGAAACTTTTCATATGGATGACAGAAGACGCAAAATCAGTTCAAAACAAATTATTTATCAGTAATTTGCACCGAATTGAATCCATATCAATCCAATACACCATAAGCATATCAGAACGAGCATATTTGATGTATCTATAAAAAGTTAACCTGAAAATACAGTAAACACTAAGCGAAAGAAAGCGGCAAGAGAGAAAGAGAGAGAGAGAGAGAGAAAGAGAGACTACAATCGGAAAAAAGAGGAAGGAAATCGAAATCAGTTCGAATTTGCTGAGAAAGAATGGCCAACAAGTATATAGCAGAGGTGGTAAATCGGAACCAAAGAAAGTAAAAGAAGACACGGTTGATACGAAAGAAACAAAGAACATAATCCCTCACCGACAGAAGCGATAATAAACAATCGCGAACAGTTTTGAGAACAGTAAATCCAAAATCAAAAGGAAAAACAAAATGAGAAAACAAGGAACGCAAAACTGAGACTGAAACTGGAACTGCAACTGCAACCTCGAGGAAAAGCTTCAGTTCTGGTACCTTTTTTCAAACTCAAAAATCACATTAAACGAAAGAAAGAAAACCAGCGTAGAAAAGCTGACGAAACTTTAAACTGGAAATCTACCTATCTACGTACCGAGAAAAATGCAGCTTCAAGAGAGAGTCAACAAGTAGAATGCAGGCGATACATATATCTGGAATAAGTAGAATATAGAGAGTTAGAAAGATGATTGGGAAATGGAGATCTGA